CATATGGACCCCTTTGCTCCCTACCCAAACAGCATACATATCACCCATTATAACCACCACATCTCCCCAACTATATTAAGCCAAATAACCTTATTTCACTCACTCCACTTGGTAACTCAAGTGGGCCGAAAATAACCCACTCCCATCACCAATATTTGACTTCATAATATCCACCCCTCTTTGCCCCCTAAAACTGCCGAAAACATCCCCTCAAATCACCCCAACATCACCCAAATATCATCCTTTTATTCCCTTGTTTCAAAATCCCCACTACTAGCCGAAAACCCTCCTTCAAATTTCCATCAATATCCTTTGAATTCATTCCACAAAAGGACACAAGCAATGCATAATATTCTAGTGATTTGAATTAGGAAGGCGCTAAGTATTTTTCCTCTTTTGCTTGTTTAAATTTCGGCCATAGGCCTCATTTGTGAAACATTGTATTCCTTTCATCTCCTAAGTAATAAACCATTGTGTTTGTTATTTTAAATCCTAATTTCTATATCTTAAGGATGGTTTCCTTAAGTGTGAGTGTTAGGTTCTAGATATTTGATTAAGTTTGTTATATCTTAATTAAATTCTAGATTGAACCCCAAGTGAGGATAAGAGGGTGTAATATGTCTTGAACGCCAACTTGGTTTATCTATCTCAAAAGAAAATACTTAGCAAATATTCATCCCCTCTTCACCCCTATTTCGGCCTCCTCATATACACCCCCTTAATATCACCTTTCTCCATCCATCCATCCGTCCGTCCATGCGTCGGTCCGTCGGTCGGTCGGTCCGTCCGTCCCTCCCTCCCTCCATGCATGCATGCATGCATGCATGCATACATCCATACATGCATGCATACATACATACATACATCCATGCATGATGCATCCATGCAGCATACATACATACATACATACATACATACATACATACATACATACATACATACATACATACATACATACATACATACATACATACATACATACATACATACATACATACATACATACATACATACATACATACATACACACACACATACATACATACATACATACATACATACATACATACATACA